ACCTGGACCTGATCAACGTGATGGCTTATGACTATTACAATGCCAACGGTGGACAAGCAAGACATCCTTCTCCTTTGTTCAAAGGGAATTTGGACAGTGGAGAATTTATACCCTGGAATGCAGTAAGTACTGTAGAATAAAATAAATGCCTGCCCAGGAAACTTTAAATATCAAGGAGGACTGTACGGAGCATTTCCAGTCACTCATACATCCGTTACAAAGGGATTGGTTTCCTCGTCTACAAACTACAGCTGGTTTGGTTGGTCATCTTGACAATGACGTAATCCTACGTAAAAAGAATACTCAGAACAGTCCAACACGTTGACGCGTTCTTCATCGTGCTACATTGTATCGAATGACAAATGTTTTTGAGTGCGTTGAACAAATACAGTGTCTTATTTTTATCAAATTTTAGGCAAATGCAATGATGTACTGGAAGAACAAAGGCGCAGACGCTGAAAAGCTTCTCTTGGGGGTTGCTGCATACGGAAGAACCTTCGTTCTTGCTTCAGGTCTACAACATGGGATTGGACATCAAACCCTTGGTGCCGGTGAAGCAGGCACTTACACCAATGAAGACGGATTCCTGTCCTATTTTGAGGTAAAAACAAAACAAAACAAAACAGTGCTCATGCACAACCTTTGAACTTTTTTTAATATACTATTGTGGGAGTTTAAAAAATAAAACTGCTGTATTTTGCTGCTTCTCAGATTTGTTCAGGAGATTTTGAATTTGTTCGTTTGGAGTCACAAAAGGTTTCTTACGGTCATCATGAAGAACAGTGGGTCGGCTTGGAAAATGTTGACAGTGTTGGTGATAAGGTGAATTACTGATTAAAAATACAAATTGCAGTACTTTTACGGTTTTTCTGGTGATTTGCTAAATATTCCTCTTATATATATATATACAGGCAACGTTTGTCATCAACTACAGCTTTGGAGGGGTTGCCTTCTGGTCACTGGACCTGGATGACTTTAATGACGACTGTGGAGATGGCAATTACCCCCTTCTCACAAACATCCGTGATGTCCTCAGTGAAGGTACATGAAAACAATTTGTTGGAGGTGAAACAAATTTATATGAAGAAAATAAATAGGAAAATAAAGGCAAAGTATATTTTTTAAATTGAATTAAAATTCAAAAAACAAAATTAAAACGTTCTTCATTTCCAGAAGGTTGGAAACCCGACATTGTAATGCAGTGTCACATTAATGACTAACTTTATCTGCTTCACTTTTTTTTACAGATATAACCACAATTCCCTCCCAAACCGCTGAGGACACCGGGAGCCGTTGTCCCCTGACAAATTACAGACTCTACTGCATTGGAATGGACAACGGACTGTACAGCGTTCCCGGTTATCCAACGTGTTACTTCAACTGTTGGAATGATGAGACCGAGCTCCAAGACTGTCCTGGACATCAAACGTTCGATGAGGAGTGTGAATGCTGTGTCGGTAGGTCAATGTTTTTTAACTAGAATATATATATTTTTTTTTTTTGCAATTTAATTTCTGATTTTTTTAATTATTATTATTATTATTTTAATTTTTTAAATAACCACCTCTTGTTCTGCAAGAAACTCAAACAGCTATTTGTAGCTGCCTTTTACCAACACGTATCTAGACAGTTGCCACACGTCCATTCAAACCGTCCATTAAATGTAGCTTGGTAGGACGTGTTATTGCCTGATACACTGTTGTTTAGTCGCTGCTGTTAATTATATGGACACACAGATAGTAAAAAGTCAAACCAACCTGACAAAACACACGTTTGCTCTTTAAAAGCCCGTGTGTTTTAGGACTGCGAGGGAAATTTGAAGCCTCATCTTCACAGTTAATTGGAAACTCATCATTATTGCTTCCTGTCAAACCCACACACTAAGTAGATAGATTGATAATCATCATAATATCATAATAACAATGTGTTGTTTTTCTTGTTTTTCATCAGATGATGACTCATACGCTGACCCTGATCCTTGTCCTGGGGAAGAAAATAACTTCTGTGCTGGAAAAGGGGATGGCCACTATAGTGTCTGTAGTGATCAAACCAAGTTCTACCAGTGTGCTGGTGGTCTTACATATATCCACAGCTGTCCCGCTAACACAGTCTGGGACGTTTCTACATGTGTAATGGCTGTATAAACAAAACTCATTAACTTTTTCTCCAAAATGAAACACATAGAACAACCTTCTAATAACGTCCTTGTAATAGAACAAAGTCAAACTATGGGACGGGGTGTTTTTTAATCTCATCTATACTTAATTATTATGGTTTTTTCAGCATAACTTATAGGGGGATGGTGATGGTGATTACTGTTTATTTTCTATACATACAGTATATACTCTACAAAACAAGCATATAATAAAAAATCTTTGTGGTTGCAAGCAACAAACGTGTCCAGTTGTGTTATTGTACTTTGTATTCTGACTTGACCGAGTCTGTTGCTAGGCCAAAAAAAAAAAAGAACATTTCAAAAATGTATTTAAAGCAATTAAATATAATATTTAAAATGCTAAAATGCTTTTGAATAAAATGCCGACCCCTCAATGTGGTTATACAACTCTATCACTACCAGTGTAGTGCATGTAGAAGGCATGCAGTACAATGTATTAAATGTCCATATATACAGTACTTACTACAGTATGTATGGGCATTTAAGGTCTCAATCCCACAAGAGGAATGTTTGAATGAAGATTCTGCAGGACAGTAACACACCAGAAAGAAACATCGTTGATTGGCCGATGCTCAGGGAAGCAAATACTAAAGCAGGGGTCACCAACGTGGTGCCCGGGAGGCGGGGGGGCACCTGCTAGCCCACATGTACTAGCTAAGGTGCCCTAAGGAGTATGTTCTAGAAATAAAACTAGTCAACAAGAGGGTCAAAAATCGTACAGTTACTGTGCTTTCTGAATCAGTTACACTTGAAATGATATTCAAATGGTTGCCACGACGATGGTGAGAAGAGTGTCTGCTGTTATTATATCATGTTTTATTATGTATATGTCCCAGAATTGATCATTATTACATTGTTGGGGAAGTCTGTGTCAAACAAGTAGCTCTTCGTATTACTGAGTGACCTCGACGTAGCTCTCAGTTTCAAAAAGGTCGGTGACCCCTGTTCTAAAGCTGGTCAGTTCTGTTTTCTCTATTACACTGTTACATAAGATCCCACCAGTTTTACCATCTTATCATTTGTTTCCAGATATTAGTGGAAAAATAAAAGACTTTTTTTAAAAATAATTTTTGTTTTAACTGTATCGTTAATGCACATACGGTCGTCTGAAACTTTTATTGTAAACTCCCCCGAGAACAACTATGCCACTGGCTGCAGCCTGCTAGTAGCTAGGCCAGGCATGGGCAAACTAAGGCCCGAGGGCCGGATGTGGCCCGTTCAGCTTTTTAATCCGGCCCGCTAAACTTTTCCATATTATATAATTTATTTATATTATAATTATTATTTATGTCTTTTCCTCTGCAATACCCACGTTTCCCCAATAGATGGCGTAGAAAATGATAGAAGCTTTTTTTTTTTTTTTTTTTTTTTAGCATTATAGCCTTTATGCATGACTTTTACATGTTATTTATCTTAGTTCACACAAACGCTCCATCTATCTGCTCCTGACCTGGCTCCCCTGTTCAATTTTAGGACAATTTTGGCCCGCGAGTCAAAACGTTTGCCCACGTCTGAGCTAGGCTAACTGTGTGAAGACAAGACCTGATGGTTCTCCCCTCAATCTCAAACACAATTCTAAGGGAGAAAGAGAAATGTTTTAACATCAAGAGGAAAACACATCAAACCATCAGCACTGCTATGCTGATGGTTTGATGCTGGCACTTTGAGTGATGTGTGCCTTACATCCCAGTACAACTTATACACTGCATTTACAGAAATGCTCAAACTTTGAAAAATAATTTTACAAAATCTTTCATCTACATTTTTCAGCATTTGACCAAAAGTTTTTTTGACCCAAAAATTTAAAGAAAAAAAATTGTCTGTTATATGTTCTCTAAATCCCCTCATTAGATGAGATACACAGAAGAAAAAGAAAAATATTTGAATACTAATTTTACAAAAGCTTTTGTCAAATTATTAGAATTTGACCAAAAAAAATGACGTTCAAAGTTCAAATTTTGGCAAGAAATTAAAAAAAAAAGTTCTCTAAATGCCGTAATTTGATGGGAAACATGCAGAAAAGGATAACATTTTGAAAAAAAAAATTCTATTCTACAAAATAGGACGATTTGAGATAACATTTTGAAAAAAAAAATTCTATACAAAATAGGACGATTTGTAGTTTGAATGGAACTCAATATTGGCATCAAATTTTGACAGCTCATGGTTGAAAAAAAAAAAATCAAGATTCCTTGTTATTAAACTGGAGGCAAAGTCATCTAAAGTGAGTGAGTAAAGTTTTTTTTTTTGGTTTTTGGTGCTGCCCGTTGTTTATAAACGGCTGACATTTTTGAGCACAATCGAATGAAGTCGGGCTGTGTGGTGTGGTGTGTTTTAGGCTCTTTGTGATATTGGTGTTCATTTATGTAATGTTTCCTTCTCCTTTGTGTTGTCTATTATTCAGTGTTTCCTGTGGGTGGATATATCTTTCACTGACACTAAGTTCATATTAGACAATTAAGTGGAGCACATCGTGTTTATCTGGTCTTACTGGTCCTATCCCTGATCTCTTAAAAAAATGTTTTAATTGGACAGCCAGCAGTTTTAATTCTCCGGGCGGGTTCTTTCTCGTCAAACATTTTCTGTCATTAACGGATGTCTTACTTCTCTGTGTTGCCGAGATCTTGGCCTTCTGCCTTCTCTCTAATGGAAGATAATAACCCTGTCATTTTCATATTTCTTTTCCAGAACCCAAGTGTCTTTAGAATCACTGTTGCTGTCAGTGAAATTCCTTACGAGGATGGGGGTCAGGGTAGTGCATGTTTATAATCTGGCAGTCAACCAGAAAGTGTCTTGTTAAACAGTACCAGGGATCAGTCAGTAAGTTTAATTTTCTGTGCAGCTTTTGGAGACTTTTGTCAAAAGTCCACTAAAAGCTCAGTTGTCCTCACATAACATATGGAAATAGGTGGACTCTGGACTAAGTTGGCTTGAAATTGGTGATAATATTGGCCTAGGACTGCTGCAGCTCTCACATGAACCAGACCAAAATAGGAAGAAATGAACCAAACTCTTACATTGACATTTTCCTTTAAAATCTCTCCGATCTCTCAATGGACAGAGTTATTTGTAACCACTGCAAAGTTACAGTAAATTACTCTTTTTAAGGAAAGGTAAATACTTGTCATTGTGACACAGCACACCACGAAACAGTCACCTCAGTGGTAACTTGGCAGCTGGTGGACTCGAACCGGAAACCTTCCAGACCTAAGTCCACTTCCTTAACCACCAAGTGAGTGAGTCTAAACTAGACATGGGCAGACAACAATCCGCTCTGCCTCCCCCCTCACCCCCCCGATTCCCCCAAACACTGGTAATGTGTGCTGTGTCCAAACCCTGATTTTGGAAAAACTGTGTCGCAAGACTCATCATTGGCAAGAACACAATGGACTGCAACATCCTGGTCGCTTTTACGTCAACATCCAATCTCATTAAACAACACGCCCTGTCAGCAGAGATATTTAAGGAACCACTGCGACACTTTCTCAGTACGGAGAAGGACTACCTTCTGTCAACACCATCTGTAAGTACCGAACCTACTTTTATCTTTTATCTTGGTTGTGCGTAATAAAGCGATGTCTTCTACTGTAAACTGTAAAACTTTCATTTCATCCTAACTCACTTTCCACTTTTGTCTTTGTCATAACGAATGGCCAGTTAAACAATACAGATTAACACAACGTCATATTTTGTTTGCAGAACAAACATGGGCAGGTTCATTCTCTTTGCAGGTAAAAAAATTAATAAAAAAAATAATTAACATTTATATTATATACAAGAGCTTTGTTTTGATGTTCTAACTATAAATGTTGACTCTTTGAAGGTCTCTGTTTGGTCGCCGCCAGTGTGGGTACGTTTTCACTCAGCATTAATAAGGCTTAACTAAATTAAACACCTGAAAACAACTGTAATTCCAAACCTAAAATACATTTTTTTTTCTCCTACATGTTTTAGCTTCTGCGTATAATATTGTCTGTTACGTCAACATCGACGCCCAAAGCCGAACTGCTCCTTGGAATTTTGACCCTGCGACGCATTTTAGCGGCGCGCAATGCACTCACATGGTCGTGGCCTACGCTGACATCGGTGACTCAAATAATTTGATTGAACAGTCAGCAGGTGACACTACTTTCTACAGCAGTGTAACTGACCTCAAGAACAGGTGAGTAATTACTTACTTTCTGAAATAATAGCAGTAGAAATAATTCAAAAAGAACAACAATAATAATATTTGTCATGAGCAGTAGAAATAATTCAAAAAGAACAATAATAATATTTGTCATTACTTTTTCACACAGCAATGCCGATCTCAAAGTCCTTTTGGCAGTTGGTGGCCCAGGTTTTGATGCAACCAAGTAAGGAGAACTGCGATAACACACCATAAAGCTCAATTTACTATGAACCACTTCTGTTTTAAAATTCTACGAATTTAAATGTTTAGATTCTCAGGAGTTGCGACGGACGCAAATAAAGGTACTTTCAGCACTAATGTCATAAGTTTCCTGAGAACGAATCAATTTGACGGACTCATGTTAGACTGGAGATTCCCTGAAACTGATGAAAAGGATGCGTTCACAGCACTGTGCCAGGTCTGTTCTGATTGACACAAACAAACGTTGCAATCAGGAAAAATGAACAATGTAAACATGTCTGTTGTATCTGTTGAAAGTGGAGTATTTAAAAGCCTAACTTATTACCGTCTCTATGCTGCACAGCAACTGTCAGATGACTTTGACAGCGACACAACTAGCGGTGACTCATTACTGCTCGGAGCTGCAGTGTCTGGTGATCCAGTGCTCATGAACGACATCTACGACATCCCAGCACTGGACAAGTAATCAGACATAATGTTCTCCGACTTGTTGCCATTGAGTTTATGTTTGTTTCATATTTGGTCACAAATGTTTTTACATCTTTGCTTTTCGCAGTCACCTGGATTTCATCAACATCATGGCATACGACTTTTATAATGTAGCTTATGGGGTAGTTAGACATCATGCTCCTTTAAGTCCAGGAATTTTGGACACCCAAGACTTTGCACACTGGAATGCTGTGAGTAGCATTCATTTAAGTAATTGTTGTTTTTTTTTTCTAGAAACTCTTCATTAAACTTATAGAATCTACAACAACATTCGGGCAAGGCCTAAACTTTGACCACTTGTATACAAACAAATATATAAAAAATATTTAAAAATCTGTTTGGTTACCGGAAAATTCAGGAGGACGCAATGATTTTCTGGAGAAACAGAGGTGCAACTACCGAAAAGCTTCTGATGGGAGTTGCTGCATATGGACGGACCTTTACTCTTTCAAGTCAACAATTCAATGATATCGGAGCATCGGCCTCTGGAACAGGTGACGCAGGCGATTACACTAACGAAGCTGGACTTTTGTCCTACTTTGAGGTAAAAAAAAAACAACCTTTACACAACTCAAACCTTAGTCTGTTTCTAAATGTTGAAAAATGTTATCACTCTTTCATTCTTTTTCAGATTTGTAGTGGGTTCCCATCCACTCAAATGAAATGGTCTGATGAACACCAGGTTCCTTATGCTTTTGATGGAGATCAGTGGGTTGGATATGACGACGCAGCTAGTGCAGAACTAAAGGTAGTATTATTTGAAAACTGTTCCTAAGTCCTCTTAGCTCTTGCTAATACATATCATGAATGTATATATTTTTAAACTAAATTTATATATCCATTTATTTTTACGGTCAGGCGACCTTTGTGATAAACTACAGCTTTGGAGGAGTTGCCGTTTGGTCTCTGGACTTAGATGATTACCTGGGACAATGTTCATCTCAAGCGTATCCCATTGTTCATGGGCTGTTTACCACTCTTGAAGCAGGTAAACAATTTCCATTCACAACATAAGTCAGTCTGAAAACACATGAGTAGTTGAACTGTTCTGGACAGATTATGCCATGTTGGGTGAACAAACTGGACCATTGAAATACTAACTCTCAGACTGACAACACTTGATGTCTTATTGTAAGAACCTGTAGGTCCAGGTCTAACAATTAGCTGTACTGCTTCATGGACAATATTAAGTGAAATAATGCTGTATTTTAAAGGTTAATTAAATGTTTTCTCCCCACATCTCTCCATCTACAGACGTGTCCACCATAACGTTCACCACTGCAGCTGAAACCCAAACAACTTGTCCTTCAAGCGACCTCTACAGAGGCTGTGTTGGACAGGAGAATGGACAGTATTCCGTCCCTGGCTACCCCCGTTGCTTCTACAACTGCTGGGATGGAATTGCATTTTTGCAGCAATGCCCACTCGATCTAGTGTTCAATGAGGACTGTGCTTGCTGTGATCGTAAGACATTACATTTTTTTTGCATTTTGTTTTTTTTTTGCACCCGCGTCAATTTCGAATGCTGAATAACACTGTCATGTGTTTTTTTTTTTTTTTTCAGATGATGACACAAATGTTCCCACAGGTGGCACTGGGGCAGACTTCTGCCAAAATATGGATGATGGTATCTACGCCAAGACAGATAATCCAGCTCAATATAACCACTGTGCTCATGGTGTGACATATATCAGGGACTGTCCTCAAAACACAGTCTACAGTACATCTTGCCAATGTTGTGACCATGCAACATAAGCAATATATCTTATATTACTCTCTAATCTTTCTGACTCAATCAAAATGGGGCAAAACTTTAACTCAAAGTCTTACACTCTTGGAATTGAGTCATATTTACGGGGGGAGGAGGGGACATGTACCTTAGTTTAGACTTTAAAAGGTTAACTGTCATTACTGTTCACTCTACAAAACAAGTATACAATAAAAACATTTGTGGTTGCAAGCAATACCTGTGTCAAACTTGTCTGATTTAAAATCCCCATTTATTAATACTGTATAAAGTGTTTGTCACACTGTGCCCAACATTATATTCAATTATTAAACAATATTTACAAAGTGTTTATTCAACAAGTTTGAATAAGACTGAATGTGCAGCATTGTTAAATCAAACCAATGAAGAAAATTGAAATAGATTTTCAAAATGACATCCGACCATGTAAACATTTAAAACGTCAACACACGGCTACTACGTTTAGACAAGAAATCGAGGCTTTCTTTTGAGTGTTGATTAAATGGTACTGCACCCCTATATTCTTAGTGTCTGTGATTCGTGCAGTTTAAAATGTACCTGCAATTTCCTCAGAGATCGTGGTCAAAACTGTGAAGCTCAGGAAGCTTCTGAATATCACAATTTTGAATCAGACTGGAGTAAAACATTACGTACTCCTCATAGTTCTGCTTGGATATCCTTTCATTGTTGCCGTGGATTCTGCAAATGAACAAGAAAACATATAACAAAAGGAGAAAAATACTCAACAATTAATAAGTTGCTTGACAGGATTGAAAGAGGTTTCCTCCCATGTTTTTTAATTACGTCAAAGCACACGTAGGCAATATATTAACAACCTACCTCAGAAAATCCCCTGAATGTAACCAGGCTGGTATGAAACGATAAATCTCTGAAGTGAGGTCATTAAAGTGTCGACTGTCCGTGTTTCCAACACAGACACCTACATAACAAAACAAAGAGATTAGAGTAGGAAGTACAGTGAAGTGTGGAAAATGTGAGCAATAGCCTTTGTACGTTCTTCACGTAAACTAATCTAAGTTCTTACTTAGTTTTTTTTTATTTTAGTTACCAACCACGAAGAGGCATACAGTACGGGTTATAGCTCCTCTAGCAGGATTGCTAGGTTTTTTTTTAAAAAAAAAAACACATCTGTTTGGTTATATCAATATTATACCTGGAGCAACTGTTACTGAGGGAAACTGCTCCAAGACAGTTTTCTTAATGATCTGGAAACCAAAGGACTTTTCGTCAGTAGAACTGACAGGCAACGGTTCAAACCCTTCAATCAGCTCGAGCTTCACTCGCTCATCTGCCACAGTGGACTCTATATGATCAAGTACCTGTGAAAAGCAGAACCAACGTTTGTCAACACAAATTATTTGGGGATGTCAACACGATGAATTCAGTTTCAGGTCTTCACCTCTTTTAATGAATGTGCAGAGTGGATTCTCATGTTGACAACAGCTTCAGCATGTGAAGGGATGACATTAACCTTAAGATTGTAAGACGGATACATTTTAATTTTTATGCAACCTTGAGTTTGTTTGGATTGTAAGACGGATACATTTTAATTTTAATGCAACCTTGAGTTTGTTTTGTTTTTTTTGACCGTTGAACCTGATATTCTATGAACACTACCTTAATTCCTGCATTAAACATAGTAACCGCTGTGGTTGTCCTTACAAAACTATTAGTATGTGGTTGTTTTTCCAGTACTCTGAAACATAAAATACAATTAGACGGTAAAATACAAGAGGAGGTCAACGACTGACTGAATACAAAACGTGTAATTACCGGCCAATAAGTGGAGAAAACAGCCACAGATTTGACATCAGGATGTTCATTGGGAAACTGAACTGAAGTCAAAACATGAGAAATTGTGAATAATAGATATATTAACATTACTATTCTATAATGTATTGCTAGAAAAAGCAACAGCATAACACATGATCTGCGATACAAAAAAAATATTTCTGGCAGTGTAGCTAACTGTGTACGGCATTTAAGAATCAGTGACTAGATTTACGTTGGAATTTTATGGAAATACAGAGCTTTGATTAACTTTATTTGATTGACTAATTAATTAATGTGGCCTTTTTACAGTCCTAATTATTATGCAATTCAATTTTTTTCTTTTTCGTTTCGTTCATTTTCGTGCTCAATTTTCTTTACCTTATGTGCAAGGTGTTCAAATGTTCTAAGTTCAGGTCCATACCCAAATAACCTCGGCATCTGATTGGCTTCTATTCTGGGAAAAATACAACAAAAGAATCCATAATGGCTTTAAATAGTTAAAAAAAAAAACATCGGTTGAAATGTTTTTTTGAAGACTGCAGGTCGCTCTCACCTACTGACTGCTGAGGCCAAGATTCCAATACAGGTCTCCCTTTGGGGCATTGAGGAGTGACCGGGTGGTACAGACACACTAAGTTTTACAGTGGCTGAGCCTTTCTCAGTTATGCCAATGCTGTTTAAGGCAAAACACATGTCAGTCTACACAATTCACAAGCCCACAAGCCTGTCAACGAACAACATTCTATGGCACTGTGTTTTGGTGCAAGGCTTAAGTTGATTCAAAGAAGTATCAAAGACATACAGCAGAAGACTGCGTCAACTCTTTTAAACGAAAAGCGCAAAGAGTTACAGTTCAACGTACACCATTCTGAATGTTTTCCCGAGATCATTGATGGGACACAACTGATACTAGCTGGATCAGCTCCACCATTTTGGATGTGAGCAAAGCTGAGGCAAGAGGCTCCCATGGGTGAGCAGCAGATCGTTGCTGATAAATTCCCAACAGAATTTATGTAAAAGTCTCTAAAATAGAGGGCCCTTTGGGAGGTTTCAGGGCCACATCGCTTTCACAACTTCTGAAGGTGGATGTGCTACCTTTCATGTGTTGGGTTACACATTTGCCAGCTCTCAGAAAATGCACCAAATTAAACACATCACCGACTGGTGGAGGACTGGTCAAAGGCTCCGTATGTGAAATTGGCATTGGGCATAAAACCAAGCTTAAATTGTATTTGAGATGAACTACGTCTGAACATCAGAACAGGTTGTGGTTCTTACAGTGCTGCAGGTCCGTCAATGGGTAGACTGTCGGTGATAAGCATGCCCTCATCGAGAACAAACAAAAGCTGCTTCCCACGCTGTTTCATCCAATTCACTATACTCACTGCTCCTTGGTTGCCTTTGACCTGGAGAAATATAGGAAGCTGTTTACAAAGAACATCCAAGTAGCCTGTACCGTCCACATATTTACTGGAGTCGAGTTAAAATACTTCTTCATCATGGCCAAGGCCAATGTAAAAGCCTCGGCGTGGAGTGTAGCCTTTTCTTAGCAAGAACTCCAACGCCTGAAGAATTCCCTGTAGGAAATGAAGCACGAAATGTATCCATTCTCTTCTTTTTAAAGATGCGTAAGCAGCATACACTTATCATATTAAACCGCATGAAGACATTAAACATTTACTTGCCATTACAGAGCTTTTGTCATCTAAAGTTCCTCTTCCATAAATGAAACCATCCACTTCCTGGGCAGAAAATGGTGGTACATCCCAGTCATCTGACTCAGACGCAGGTACCACATCAATGTGAGCCAGCAGCAGGTAAGGTATCAAGTTCGGATCGGAACCTTCCACCCAAAATAGGTGACTGTAGTTGGCAACTAACTCATGGCGAACCAATTTTGAAGAGTAAACTGTTGGGAAGGCTGACAGAGAGGGTTTACACGGTAGAGAAAAATATCATTCAAATAATCCTAAATTGTTTCTACGATGAGGTTATTATTTCAAATTGGTTAACGTAGTCGAGGTTATTATTTCAAATTGGTTAACGTGGTAAAAAAAAAAGACTTTTAAATCAGTTTCTAATTCAGCAAAACAAAGCCACAAACGCAATCTGCATCTGCAAAACCTGGTCTGAGCTCATGTAATTTGACAATAAGTCACCATTTGTATCTTTCTCATTCAGACACGGTTATTTGAAATTATTCTGGTTCTTACCTTTGTGATGTGGATACCCGCAGTCCCTTTAACGTATTTGAACCTTGATGCTACGCTTTCGCTCATTGGGAAACGACATTGATTATTCATATCAGAGGTCTTATTACTCTGAGGATTGTTGGAAGTTTTTAAAAGTAGCAGTGGTAAATTAATGCACACAGACCGAGCAAATACTATGAGCAACTACCCCAAGTCCAGAAGGACAATGAAGGCATGTCTCTTCAGCTTCAGCATGGTTAGTCGTGCATTTTTTAACAGTGCAGTGGTAGTGCAGAGTTGTCGTAGTGTAGACGGTGCTCTCCGTTGGCTGTAAATGTAAAATATGGCTACGATTTTATTTTTTTGTTATATAAGTCGTTTCAGAATAAAATGGCAGCGAAACTTTTACATAAGACAATGGTAATTGAACAGCAGCTCAGACACAAGATATGTAAAAAATATAAAAAGTAAAACTATGATAACCACATCAAACCGAGCACGGCATTAAAATAATGTCATATATTTTACATTCCAAGATTTTATTATTTAAATATAGACATTTTTCTCGTCACAACTGACAGTAATAAAGCTATAACTTTCTACTTATTCACTTATTTCAACCTCTCTCAGAACGTTTTTTTTTTGATGACCGTTCATAGATCGCTTATTTCAACCTCTCTCAGAACGTTTTGATGACCGTTCATAGATCAAACTCACACCAACGCACCTGCTTAGCATTAGCATTTTAGAATTGTATTTTTTACATAAACGCTGACATAACGCGTACACCCCTGTGCCTCCACACACTCAAATATCCCGTGTTTGTCTCTCTCTTTTTCTCCCGGTGTCCCCCGTTGTGTGTCGTTCCACCTTACCTTTCTGTAGGAAGGCGTTGAACTCCAGCAGCGCGGTGGTGTTGATGTCATCCTCGGTGAAAGACACGGTGGGGATCCTGATACCCTCTGAGGTGGTTCCGGAGCAGAGTCACAGACACACAACGTTAGCTCTGCTTCTCTCTCATTCAACAGCCCTCTCTCATTAACCGTTGCTGAAAGAATTTAAGTTAAAAACAAACAAACAAACACCTTTTAAATTGTCCAGCAGCTCATCTCTTAGTTCGTGGTCTATGGCGAGCGAGATGTTCTTGGTCTTCTCCCAGTGTGCGAGTTGCAGTCCGACATTTTTGTCCAGTGATAATGTCCTGACACACAGTAAAATAAATAACGTTGTGGTTGAAAAAAGGACGCTATAACCAACAATCCGTAAAAACTTTTGCATTTTGAACTTTGACCCCGAGTCTGCCTTGTCAAACAGCTGCTGTATCGGCGGAACCATGTTGCCAGATCTCGCGAGAAAAACAAGCAAAATGTAGAGGAAGCGTATTAGCCCACAATAAGGGAATGGGGATTTAGCATCTTATGCTACATAACAAAAATAGAAAACGGAGCCTTACTAATGTAAAATTACATTTTTGTTGGTCGTTTCTTGTATATATTATTTCACATAAGATGTTTAGGCGTTTTTAATATAAATTACACACATTTTATATATTTTTATACATGTATTTAAATGTATTCCTTTTAGTCATATATTCCATATATAGATATATACGCTAGGTCCAGTTTTATAGTATACTAATTTTGATAAAATATTGAATATATTTAGAGATCAGTCTGTGGATCTCTGTTACAGTTAGGGAAGGTTCATACCAAATAAGATATTTGTAGGAAAATATTGGGGATAAGAAAAAAAATAAGTCTAATCCACCAAATATTTCTCAACCCCCCTGAGGTACCTCTTTAGATCCAGTCTGACATTTCACAACATACATTTCTGAAGTAGAATAAGATAAACAAAGTTTAGTAAGCAAACTTTATTGGAATATATTAAAGTATTAAAAAGACATAACAGACCATCTGTGACTTACTGAAACATTATAATACGTGGAATGCATATTTAATTAACAATATTTACACATCACACAGTCTTCAGCTAAACATTAAATATTGTTTTAAGAAAAGTAAACCCAGGTAGGAAATGAAATGTTATGGAGAAGACGTAAGACATTAGGCATAATAAACAGAAAAAAACATCACTCTCATTCTGAAAACATCTTGGGCCTCAGCTTGAAGGGAAAGTCCCTGCTCGTCATTGGACCCCAGGTCTAGACTGTCCAGCAGGGCCACAAAGGGACTTAGGCTGTCGTCCTATGCCCAAGTGTAACTGAGGTACAGAAGGCACATCACAGCGAGGAAGAAGAAAATCTGTACATGGATGGGAACCAGTCGACGATCTATCTCTTGTTTTTCCCACGTCCTTGGACTGACGGGTGTGTCCGGGTATTTTCGCTGCATGGGATGCATTGCTGCCCACTTGATGGGTCTGCGGCACGTTGCACTGAAATTGTGTATTAATATAAATGACAAATACATTTAGCACTTAGCTTTTCGTGATGTCGGTGATCAAAAAAAAATTTTTTTAATAAAAAAATGTGTTATTTGATAAAATTAAAAAAAGGAGGACCCTCAAAAAAAAATCCTAGCACTGAAGACAAAAACTTACTTTAGGACCGGTCTGGAATTGGTTGTGGTCTCAGCAGGCAAGTGCTGACGGTTGACTTTCACCAGCTCCTAAAGAAAGGGAGAAAAAAAAAATCACTTTATGAGTTATAAAGATTGTAAGGTATGAAAAAGAAGGCCGTGTAAGTAAAAAGTGTGTGTGCCTTCTTTTCCTGGTTGCAAGGGGATGCAATAGGGGTGAGGTACAGAGAGTGGTTCTTTGTAGTACGGCTCTCCAAAACAGGTTCGTCCAGCTGAGAAAATGGTGAGAGAGTTTATAGTGACATTTTAATCCTTTAGTTTAGTGCAGTCCAAGTTTGTTGCTCCTTCACATTCAAACCACTAGCAGGCCTCTGGCCGCTGAAGTGGGACTGAACAAGGTGAACAATACTGACCCTCTTGGACCGTGAACAATGTTCCGGCCTGTCGCTCCAACTGACTTCTCTTTCACCACTTACACTCCGGGAGAGTGATTTCCGATTCTCCATCTGTGGTTTTGTGTGAGAATACAGGTCAGTGATACCACCTCGAAACATTAGAGTTACAAAAATAAATGAGTGAGGGAGTGGAGGTGAGGTGAGTGGGGGGTTAAACACTTTCCTCTTCGACCATTTGAGTAATGCTAAATGCTTGAGAGGAAACAGTGGAGCAATCGTTGTCTGTTGGTGTGTGTGATCCGGCTTGAGTCTGAAAGATACAAAAGGATCGTCAATTCATCAACCTTTCTTTATATTGCACTAAAACAGCAACAACCTACAGGTGATGAGTCAATAATATTGATCGAGAAGACAAATAGTAGGAGAGAGAATGGTGAAACACTAAGAATAGTTCATTATTTTGGTTTATACAAACAGTAGACATTAAATATGATTGGCACAGAACCTCACGTTACTTGAAGGATTCAACAGTTTCAACAGACAGTACAGTTTATTAATGAAAGAACAATTGTCCCATCAACAAAAGCTTTTTAGATCTCTCAACGGACCAATATTGGGTTGCACTCCCTGTGTTGAAGTCCCATGGTTTACTGTGTTGTCTTCAGCCGTCCAGTCGATCACTATGTTAACGCACATTGTATACTGTGATGCACCAAACTGCTTTGTTTGGTTTCGCTTTTTTTTTTTTCCAGAGGGAATGTTGGCAGCGACAGAAAAGGTCAGAGTACCACAATGTTTGTTCGGTTTGAACTACTTCCAAAAAAAAAA